ATGCAAATCTCCATCAATGAAACAAACACCAAATAGGAACCCAGACTTCCTATATGATGTCCTCATATAGTAGGGGTCATTATCCCCATTTTACAAATGACCTTGATGCTATGGAAATTATTTTCCAATGTTAGTTAGACATGCAGTCTTTCGTCTGATTTCAAAGCTCATGCCCTTTCCATATAAAGGTTAGGTTCTGGGACCCCCCAGGATGTCTGGGACAGCGCTTTCCACATCTGTAATAAATTAGTGCCCTCCCAATTTTAGCATGTGTCAGAATCACCTGGAGGTCTTGATATGACCTGCTGGTTCCACAAATCTGGGACTTTCCTGAGGCTCTGAATTTCTAGCAGCTTCTCAGGTGGTATTGATGCTGCTGGTGTAGAGACCTCACTTAGAGTAGCAAGGCGTGGAGAGTTGGTTAACAGGCCAAGTGTCTAGGATCTGGCCTTCTGAAATTCTTGAGGCTGGGGATGGTTGGGGAGAGGGTGTGGCAGGAGGAGGAGATCTAGTGGAGCTGAGTAAACAACAGGAGTATTTAGTATCAGGGGTGGTCATAGCTTGGGACCGATTGCTTTTATCGATTTCTCTTAAATTCTATGGCCCCGGCTATTCCTCCAGTTCCCCTGATGATTAGAATCACCTGGGTACTTGAAAACCATATGGATTCCTTAAACCCTGTCCCAGGAGGGGACCAATAAATGCGTCATTTTACAAGTACTTCAGGTGACTCAGTACCAGAGAAGTTTGGAAAACACTGGAAGGGCAAGAGAAATGGAATTGAGAGTAGATCAAGGGTAGGGTTCATTCTTAAAGACCAAGAGGTTTGCAAAGGTTAAAAGAGTGAGAAAAACACCTCAGCAAGGGACAGGAGCAAGGCCTGAAGACTGGTTCTGCGTTTTATCAGATTCAGTTTGAGGACTACTGAATTTTGTTTGAAATCCTGTATAAATGCGTTCTGTGTTGTTCATCTAAAAATGCTCTAATAAAAGATTTTTAAAATATTGGTTCTATATGTGAGTAACACCAATGGCACCTATAACCAAAAGTTTGCATTCTATAATAAACTTAAACAATGGCTGTGCTCCCAACTGCTGTGTCAGAGCAGCTAAAGTTGAAAAGGGGGACATCAAGGGGTACTGAACATGCAAAAAAAGAAGAGAAATTAAATTGTTACAACCATCTTAGACAAATATCTATCTATATGGAAATACATACCTGGTATCTATCCACATGGAAATACACTCTTTCCACAACCCAAGAATTTTTCTTATATGTAGAGATCAAAAAGAAATCCATGCATTTCTAAGAGCACCTAAAGCCTGAACAAGAATTTCATAGCAGCATTATGTGGAATGGCCCCAAATTGGAAGTAAATCGGATTTTTATCAGTACCATCACGCAGAAACTGTATTATATTTGAGTGACGGAATGTTATGCAGTGGTGAAACGAATCACTATTGCAACAAGTCGATGTGAAAGAATATGTAGCATGTGTTTCCTCTTACCTGAAGTTCACAAACAGACAAAACTGGTCTGTGGTGTTAAAAATCAAGACGTAGCTATTTTTAGAGAGGCTAATGCCTGGAAGTGAGCATGACAGAGCAAATTCTGGAGTACTGATAATATTCTATTCCTTACACTGGGTGTTGATAATATGCATAGGTCTATTTTGTGATAATTTATTTGGTAATCACTTAACAAATATCCATTCTTTTCAATAAAAATATTTAATTTCAAGAAAACACACATAGGCATGCATGATCTCTCTCTCTCTCTCTCTCTCTCTCTCTCACACACACACACACACTCACACACACATTATTCTAAAAGGAAGCGAGAATGCCATAGTCACAGATATTTCTAGGCTACCTTGACATTGGCTCTTTTTCCCCAAGACTCATCTCTGAGCAATGATTGGCACCTGGGGATTTGTTTTTCTCCAATCAAATGTTATAAAATTAATATTTGGTAAATAGATACCACCCTGATTCTTCCCAAATCACATATTTCTATAGAAGATAATCCTTGGGCCGGCGTGATGACACACACCAGTAATCCCAGTGGCTTGGGAGGCTAAGGCAGGAGGATCTCAAGTTCAAATCCAGCCTCATCAATTTAGTAACACCCCATATCTAAATAAAAAATTTAAAAAGGCTGGAGATGTGACACAGTGGTTAAGCAGCCCTGAGCTCAATCTCTGGTACAAAAACAAAAATTAAAAAAAAACACACAAAGATAACCCTTAAACTACATCATATTCCCTTTGGAGAGATACTGAAGCATCATTCAACTCTGTGGATATAATTCCACAGAGGAATTACAGTCAAGATCCATTGCTTTTGGAAAAAAACCCTAACCAGTTTCTTGGGAAGGCCTGATCTATCTGTGACCAACATGGTGAGCTGGTGATCACGTTTCCCCTGTCCATCTATCTACTACTTCCCCACAAATATATATGTGTCTGTTTGTTTTAGCTTTTGTGACCAATCTTGCAAAATCCATGTCCCATGGCTCCTGAGGAGTGAGTTTTGCTTTTTCCTGATTACCCTGCTGGCTCTTAGTCCTGGCTTCCTCTCTAGGCCAAAGGCATTGGTGGTCTTTGAGAAACCTGAGAAGGTCATAAATAAGGGATCATCTCCCCAAAGTGACTTTGGAGCCTCAAGCTAAAATCCTCCTTGGAGCCTTGTCCTCTGCTAGTTGAGAAGAGATGGTATCATGTGAGCTGAGGCAAGAGGCTGGGTGGATTCTGAAAGGATGCAAACACAAATGGTATCCTCAAAGCAAAAGACCAATTTCAATAAATCAGCTAAGAGGTACCAATAAAGGCTCAATATGCAAATAACTACAATCAAAAGAAATAAAGAATGAAAATGTACATGTCATTTGCCTCACTTTTAGGAGATCTGCCCCTGTACATCAATTTTTACAGGAAAGCTCGAAAACTGACAGTCTGAAGGCTAATGTAGCCCACAGATAGATTTGCTTTGATTTCTATCATGTTTTAAAATTCAGGACCTTCACCCTAACATCCATGCTTACAGTTTCTCTTTAGAAACGTAAAGATCTGGGTGGTGTCTTCTTACATGAACAATTTTCTAGAGTTCCCCCACTTCCTATTGACTTCCATCAGAATGGCCTCACTCATTTCTATTGCTTGTGTGACTGCTTGAGGAATTTCGTGTTTCCTGCCCCATTGTGAAAGTGTCTCTCTTCATAGGCATATTCAATGAAAGGGCACTTGCCCCAGCCGTGGGCTCTGGTGATGGGAAGGGCGTGGGCAGCCGTCTTTTCCATGAGGTTACTTCTCAGCTGTGGCTTCCTGCACCAGGCATGATAGCTGCTTCAAAGATGGCCCATCCAGAAGCTTGCCAGGGACTTGTGGCCTGGCAAAGAAAAGTGATCAATGGTAACATTCTTTGCTCAGAATTTTGGAATGATAAAACTGAGCAACTGCTTCCAGCTCGCGAGGGGGAAAATTGCAGAGACTGAGAAATGCACTTAGCACCACAGTAAGCCAAAGCCCCGTGTGAGCCAAATTGTGGTGGAGAAAGTCTACAGAGGGAAGAATGTGGATTGCATGCACCAAAAGAGGCAGCGATAAGATGCCAGATGTCCTCAGAGGCTGAGGGTGTAGACTGGTCCTCTGGATTGTGTTCTCAATTCTACTTGTGGCGAAACCTGCTGCACCTGCTTGCAGATCCTCAAGTTTCTAGTAATTCCAGTAGTGCTAGTTTCACCTTTCTTAGGAAAATAATACTCCCAGTTCTCCTAGGGAACCATCCCACCAGATAGAAAGGCTACCTGAGAATAAAGCCCATGCACCAGGGGAGGTAACACCCACACCCTAAATATTTCAGATATTTTCTATTTTTCTGGAAATGATTTTTACTCTTGAAGGTTCTCTAAGCCTTCATTCAGCCTATTCGACTATAATAAGGTATAATGGAGGAAAATCAATAATCATGAAAATACTTTCAATAAGCATTTATTGAGTACTATCTGTTTACAGTCCACCATGGTAAGGACTGAGAAGAAAACAATGATGTCCACCATCCCTACACCCCACAGAGGTTATGATCTAATGGTGAAGACAGGAAACATCCATGAATTGCTAGAATATGACAACAGAATGAAATAAACACTACAGTAAATACTTTCAGATCCTCAGAGCCCTTAGGAAAAAGAAGAGAGAAAAATAATGGTTCTCTTGGGGGGTGGGGGGTGGAGCTTGGTAATCTGACTTCCTGTCAAATAAGAAGGGGCGGTGACAAATGGAGAAGAACTTACCAGGAGAGACTGACATGGGGACAATGTTGAAGGACATGAGGGAGGAGACAGAAGAAGGAACACCAGGGGACTAGAAGCAAAGCAGGACAGAGAAAGCAGTCCCCTCTACAGCATCCACTGCCCTTCAGTAGCACCAATACAGGGAGTCATGAAGGGTCAGAGGAGGAAGAGTCACCATGGATTTCGTATCTTTCCCAGGCAGCCTCACCTTCAGTGGGATTCTGCAGCTTTTTTCCCTCCCCAGAATTTGGGAAAGGGTGAGAGGCAGCAGAACCCCCCCCCCCAGGTGAAAGGAGCCATGGAAGGAGCCCCTCCCAAGGGCAGTCTCCCCGTGTGGGGACACGGGAGGGAGCAGACCAACCTCTCTGGATTGATAGTTCCCATAGAGAGTGATGGAAAAACACTGTTGATAAGGCAGCGTCTGGAGCCAGCCTGTGGAGGCCTGGGATTTCAGGACAAAGGGTTTGGACTTGGTCCTGGAGGCAGTGGGAGCCAGAGACGATGAAAGAGTTCCTCATTCACTGAGGAAAAGCAATCGCGCAGCTCATTTTTCTCCTTAGGAAACAACCATAGAATTTAGTTTTCAAGACACCCCCAACTCAGGGAAATGCATATGCCAGCCCCTGCAGGGTCCCCCGGGAGAGTTCATGAGTTCAGACTCAGAGCACAAGATGTGTTTTACTTGGCATTGAAGCACGTCTCTGGGTGATGCATGTCTTCAAATGGGGCAGGCCGACATGATTAAACATATTATATCAGTTATTCTGAGTCTCTGATGGTGCCCCCCGACACTGTTTAGTCTCACACCCCTCCACGCCTGGATATCCAGAGTAAAATGACTAAGAGACAGGTCGCATACTTTCTTAATAGCATCTGCATGATGCAGATTCACAGAGTAAGGGCTTTGCAGGAATCGAACTACTGCTTTTCTCAAAAGCTGAGTCTCACATGGTCTCCAGGAGTGTGTGGAACACCTCACAGGGGGTCTAGCATATTGGGAGTAATGCTATGGTATACATGGCTTTTAAGGGGAACTTTTGATTTTTTTCTTCTCCTATCCTTCTTTCCCCCTGCCTTTCCACTATGTATTTCTCCATTTCTCTTTCCCCTTTTTTTTTCTGTTTAGATTTTCTGTTCAGTCCAGTCTTGTCTTCTCCCCCCACTCCCATCCCCTCTTTCTCCTTTCTATCTTCTTGTAGCTTTCTTTTTCTCTACAGGAACTGAGAAAGACAAGGGTGTGTGGGCGGCCATGGCGCCCCTCCAAGGAAAGTGTGAGGCTTTGGGCAAAATAGACTCTCATTTCTTCCAAACATAGGTCTAATCTGAACGGTCTCCAGGCTCTGCTCTCCAATCCAACTTCAGTGGTTTCAGTTGGACTCCAAGAGAAGAGACTCCAGGGATGCTGTGTCCTTAGTCTGGTCTTGGAGAAAAGCAGCTTTCTGTGCACCTACTTGTTCTCAAAGATTGGGGCACCCACGTTCCCTTTCCTCAAGTCACCAGAGCCCAAGAGAGGCAAAGCAATGCAAAGCCTGGCTCAGGAGAAGCAGGACTTCATTAACAGTTTGATTTATCCCCAAATGATCTATTGTTATGCATCAAACATGTTTTCCCTACAAACCAGTTGGCAGGGAACACACAGATAAATTACTACAAGATGTAACCAGACAAGCTGTTCAAAAGGAAAACGGTTCTGTGTGTGTGGAGCTCAGGAGAGAACATCTATAAACATGTGTTGGGAAATCAATTTGGTATAAATTGGCTGGAAGAAATGGGTTGCTGCCCCCAAACTACCAGCTTGCTGTGATATCTGACAGTTCTTTTGAGGTCACTGTCCACTGTTTCAGTAGTGAGGATGGAAAAGCAAGGATATTAATTTCTCCGGGGTGTCTTCAAAGAAAGACAATGCCAGGTTATCTGTAGGCAATTGCAAAATCTCTGCATAGGCAAATGTGATCGTAGCCAAGCTTGTTTGCTGGAGAGAATGGGTTAGAGAAATTTCACTGGCATATAACAACATGTAAATGATGCTAAAACAGGTAGCAAAAGAAGGAAGTAACAGAACACTAGAGCACTGTAGCATACAGCTTGGTATGGAAGTAACCAACCTGGATGTAACATCAGGCAGAAAGAACTATAAATCCCTGATGGAAAGTTTTTGAACTCTTTTGAGATTTTTATGCTCTTTTATAAAGGGATAGGTAGACTTGCTTTGACAAGGTTGTAAGACTCATATAACACATGCCACTTGTCCTATAATTCACTATGGCCAATCAACAGACAGACTGATTAAATTAAAATTAATTAGATTAAAGTAGATGGAGTCTATTTTAATGGACTAGTCAATCACATAGCCACATTTCACATGCTCAATGGACACATGGGGCTTGTGGCTAACATTTGGGTGCACAAATATAGAACCTCCCCGACACTGGAAAGTTCTATGGAACAGTGCTAACTTAGAATATGCCAGACACAAAGTAGACCTTTACACATAATTGTTTTCCTGTTTTGAACATTTTCCCACATAGTGCTTGATTAGAGAGCTAATTGTCAAAGTCAGAATGCTCTTTCACAGCCTCCTGATAAGACAGACTATTTAGTGCTCTAAACCTGGCTGACATCTACCAAGCATGGGGATTGCTGGAAATTGGAGAGGATACAAAATAGAGAATCTCTTGGTCTTTGGTTGAGATAAGTATGAGAGATCTTGACTCAAGTCACAAAGGTATCTCAACAGAGATGACAATCAAAGTAGAAACAAAATGGAACTCAGCAAAGGAAAAAAAAAAAACTCTATAAGAACAGCCACCAAAATATTCTTGCTTTAAGCCCGATGAGTGGATTCTAAATGGGCTTCTGCTAACATGCTTATAAACCTTCTAATGTTTCATTTAACTGCCTTGGAAAAATCCCAGGGTAGATGAAAACTTCCCCCAAGATATGTAGCTGGACCTTAAGAAACTTTCTCAAGGTCAAAGACGAATTATTCCAAAGTTGCTTTCATTTGGTTGAGGACCATCTTGACTTTCTGGGGTGAATCCAACACATCTATGCTGCTACTGATCAGATCGTAGCCTGCAGAGAAGGTCCTCTTGATCTTCGTTTCCTGGCAGGAAAAAAAGAAGACGGCCCAAGGTAAGATTGCCTTCTATAGGCAGAAGAAAAGAACAAAAGGAATAGGTACATCTGCTGAGTGCTTATTGTGCACACTTTTCTGATCATGATATCCTGGTCATATGATTTAGTCTTTACCATAACTGTACAGAGGAAGAACTATCAACATCTCCATTTTACAGAGGAAGAATTGAAGCCATGAATGGTTAAAAACTCATTCAAGGTCACAAGCTAGTAAATCGTGGAGCCAGGACCTGACCCTGAGTGGTCCAGCAAAAGTTTGAGTTCTTAACCACTGTGCTCTGAAGCCTGTCAGGGTAAGTAATCTCTCTGTGGCTTCCTTATTTAAGTTTCCAAAAATAATGAATTTTTTAATGATGTTTGGGGTTTTCCTTTTGCAGTTTTTCTGGTCACCATAGAGAAACAAACTTAAGTATTAAAATAATAATAATAACAACAACAACAACAACATTAAAAATAATGACTGAAACAGTTTTCCATAGATATGTCTTATTATAGATTTATGTAAACAATCATTTTGTAATAAATGAGAATAACAAATGCCAATGAGATGGTGAAAACACTTTATCTTTGAATTTGTGTGCGATAGTTTGTAATTTCTGTGCCATAGTTTGGACCTGGGAATTTCCCCCAAGATCCATGTGTTAAAGGCTTGGTCCTAGGCCCACAGCAGTAGTGGGGGTGGTGGTGGTGGTGGTAGAGCCTAAAGGGGTGGGGCCTAGTGGGAGAATTTAAGTAATTGGGGGGTGTGTCTTTGAAGGAGATAATGGGATCCTAGATCCTTCCTTTTCCTCTCTTTCATGTCCTGGCCATGAGATCAACAGTTTCACCACATGCTCCTGCCATGATGTGCTGTTTCACCATGGGCCTCCAAAATAATGAACCTCCAAAATTGTGAGCCAAAAGAACTCTATCATCTTTTAAAATTGATTATCTCAGGATTTTGTTACAGTCATGAGAAGCTGACTAACAATGTGGACCCATTTTGTCATTAACACTTGAAGAAAGTGTCAAGTGACAAATGGGGACTTAGATGGGGAGGAACGGTCCTGAAACCAAGACCTGTAGACCAACTGCTTGTTTTTGTAAATAAATTTTTACTGGGGCATGAGCACACCCAATCATCTATAGATTGTCTGTGACTATTTTTCCATCACAATAATAGAGTTGAGTAGTGACAAGCCAAATGGACCACAAAGCTGGAAATGTTTACCATCTGATCCTTATAAAAAGTAGTTACTAACTCCTCACTTAGAGGACAGTGAGAAAACAGAACTGTGTTCTCATAGTGGGTCTTGACTGATACCCACCAATTTCAGATGACTGAAAATGTCAGATTTCAAGGGTAGTGCCAGTATAACCCCCAAACTGTAAATAAGGGGAGTTTGCAGATCAAATGACAAATTTTTATAACAAAGCTTTGTCACAGTTCTGAATTTGAAAGTCAAAAGCAACCCCCAAATAAGACGGAATGAGAAGATGCTCCAACCCTTGGTCCATTTCTGAGAGTTTAATCCTAAGCAATTATCAGTAGTGTTCTCGTTGTTGTCTCATTTGCAAGCATTTCACCATCTCTACCTGTGTTTGTTGAGGGCAGAAGCTCTGCCTTTGTTGGTCTGGTGCTCAGCCCAGGGACTGGGGGAGAGTGGGCACCTAGTGAGGCTGAATGAAGAGCCATGTGGCACAGGGTTAAAGAATCCACATCTAGGAGGGTGAGGGGAGCAGCCACAGGACAGGGGAGTTGGGTAGAGGGCTGTCTCAAAGACTAGGAGAGTCAGCAATGAAAGGTCACAGGGTCACTACTGAACCAAAATGCAGATACATTCTAGATTGAGCTATGAAGTCAGGGCTGACGTGGACTGATCACCCATTATGTGCTAGAAACCATCTCAGCTCCTTGTAAACATTTATTTTATTTAATATTCACAAAGATTCAAGGAAAAAGACTATTTCCTAAAGCACAGGACAGTTTTCTTATCCCAGGGTATTCAGCAGAAAATAGTAGGTTTTAAGTTCCAGTCTGAACCCAGAGATAAAACTTGCCATGACTACTATACAGTTCTCCATGGCAGCATCCATAACCTCTCCCTCCTCTGTGGTTTTAAGCAATTCCATGGGAAGCTACTTCCACTTTTCTGGTGAGAACCTATGGCCCCAAACTAGTTTGTTATATAGCTCTAATTTGTCTTATAGACAATCTCATGGCAACTGGACTCCAACGTATATCATGTAACAGGGATAGACATGTCATACTCTACTATATATGTATTCTTAGCACTTGTTAAGAATTTTTTTCATAATGGTTTTTAATGTAATTAGAAATACATTATTTCAAATATTGAGATACTAGAAAAACTTTAAGTGTAAGTCCTTTCTAGTCATATGCCTGTCTGAAGTCCAACAACATCAGCCTCATCTGGGAGCTTGTTGGAAACATACAATCCATGGTCTTGGGTACCATTCTAGAATGACCAAATCCTAATCTGCATTTTAACAATATGACCAGGTGATTCCTATGCACTTTAAAGTCTGAGAAGTATTGATTCTGTCATTGTAATATCATTATCAATGACTCCCCAGAAGAGAGAAAATTTGGATACCTCTGGCTAGGTTTAATGAAAGAGACTGAAGAAAGCTTGATGTATTGGGGGTAAAGATGATTCCTCTCCTTGGACCCTCTTCACCTGGGTAACTACTACTCACCTTTAGTGTCTTAGTCTAAACCTTACATTTCTTCCCTCCAGGAAGTATGTGTTGGTTGAGTGGGTGTCCCTCCTATAAAACCTGCTGAACTTCTACCTGCAACTATTATCATTTCCTGTATACTTTCTTCTCTGTCCCATTTGACTCAAACTTTCACGGTAAAAACACTGCCTTGCTCAACAGGAACAGCAGCAGCAGCAATCAACGCACATTGCAAACTGACGATGAAGCCATCACCATGCATGTGTTACCTTGGTCGAAACTCATCACAACCCTGCTATCATCTCCATTTTACAGGTAATGATTTGAGCCTTATGAAATTAATTGACTTGCTCCATGTCACATTGCTTGGGAGTCCTTAATGCCATATTCAGTTCTTGGAACATGGGGTGCTCATCAAGGTCTGCTAAGTTGAAGAAGAGACACATGAGCTGCTCCCCTCTTTGGTCTGCCCCTGCCTTCTCCACTGGGATCAGAGAGCCTCAGTGAGATTCCCTCCCCCTGCTCTCTACCCTCACTACATAGTTCTGGGAGCTCAGTCCTCACGTCTTTCAAGTTTTCAGCCAGAAAATAAACTGACTGAATGTCCTGATCTTCCTATGCCTGGATGCTAACAACTTCCAAATCAAAGACTCATATCCTGGCTTGTTTGACAGAGTCTACTTAAAGAAAAAAATGAAATGAGAGAGAACAGACCATGTGTGTAATATTTTCCAAAGTGTATACTTCCAGCTTGCAGGCTCCAGTTCTGTCTCCCAACCTGCAGGGGAGAACACAGCAGGGCATGGGATTGCTGCAGAAGTCCTTAAATCCTTAGCCGTGTCATACATTTTCTGGAAAGGGAAATGAACACACTTCTCCACTCCTGAATGGACTACTGGACTGTATTACTGTCATGACACATTAAATGTGAGCTCACTTAAAATTATTATCAAACCCATTTTCCATCCTCTAACTCAAATAACAAAAACAGAAGCACTATTACATTTTGTGGGGTCCAGTGGGGATTTCTGAAGTTATTGCTAGCAATAAAAATTCTAAGTATATATATATTTACTGGGCAGTGTGTTGCAGATGTAGATTGTCTCATTTGATTCTCCATCAACCCTTTGAGGTAGGTATTACTATTTCCAGTTTATACAGGAAGATTATAAGATATTTTTAAAAATAGGTCAAGAGCCAGCAGCAGATAATGTATACTAAAGTTCCAGGCTATAGCTCCACATGCATCATCTCCTGAAATCCTCACACTCAGGGAAGCTGGGAGTGCTAATGTCACCCTGACTCTAAAGAGGAAACCGCAGGTCTTGCTGAGTACGTAACTTGCCCAAGATGAGACTGTTACCCAAGATGCACACAGGGCTTGAATCCCAAGTTTGGGTGATCCCCAAACCCAACTTCATAACACTATCTTATTCAGAAAAATACTATTTAAAGTCCTAAAAGCATCTAAATTAATAAATATAAACATTTTAAAATTTTAAACAAATAAATATGGAAATATTACAAACATACCAATATTTCCTGCTTAATAGTGTAAGAGGACTGAGCTATTGGGGTGTTCTCAGCCATCCCTCTCTAGGCTGCCTGACAAGTTTTTCAGGGGGCAAGTGTTTGGGTGAGAGCCAGGAATGTTGAATCAGCTCTAACTCTACTGCTAGAATTACTGAGGTCCTTCTGGCATTGTAGAGTTTCTTAAACATTGCTGGTCAAATTGGGGTCTTAGACCAATGGAACCAGACTCCTCAGAGGTAGGGAGGGGGAACTACATCCAGTGATTCCTACACAGTTCCATTTTGGATAGAGAAGTGGTTTTCCAACTTAGCTGCAATGTTAGCCACCTGGAGGATCTTTAAAATTCCTGACACCTCTACCCTGTCCCCACAGTGTCTGATTTAATGACTCAGAAGAGAGGCTGGGTAGGGAGAGTTTTGAAAACTCTTCAGGTGATTCCAGTATTCAGCCAAGTTGGAGACAGAGGTTTAGAGGATGGTCCCCAAATGCCAGTCCACAGTTCAGCTGTGTCAGAAGGGCCTGGCGGGTTTTTCAAGAAATCTCTATATCAGACCCAATGTGCCAGAATTTCTAAGGGTGAAGGCTGAGAATGGATACTAGAAGAAAATTCTTCTGGCACTTAAAATAAAACATGGGAGCATCTGGTGATTTTTGAACCCATGCAGGTTTGGGAAGCCCCGACTTGGATTGGGGCATCCCAGTCATTAATTTGGTTTAATTTGAGATGGAGTCTGAGATTCTACATTTCTAACAAGCTCCAAACAAGCTGTTGTTTGTCAGAGGAACACACAGCAATTAACCAGAGTTCAGGGGATGGAACGAAAGAGTGGATACCCTTTCTCTGAAACCTACCAAAGGCTGTACCTGAAATCTATTGGCATTCAGGGATCTGATTTACGCGCTTCCCTGTCCCCTTACCCAGTATCACTTTTCTTTGGGGGATGAGTTGGGTCCTTGTCATCTCTGTATCCCTACCATCTAAGCACAGGACTTAGAGATGTTAAAAACACATAAATAGAATAGAATTTGAATTGACTGGATACCATGATGTCCTTGGAGTCCAAGCTGCGGAGCCAACTGAAGGTGAGACATTGCTATAATGGGAGCCTTTGGTCACTTCCACTCATAAATTCCAATTGCATGGGGTCCAGTGCAGAGCTGTGTGTTACCAAAGCCCACTCTGTAGGGGGTAAGTCAAAGCAGGCCTCTGGAATATTAATAATTCTGCACAGTGATCACAGCTATGACATTTACAGAGCCATGGAGTACAGGAGACAGCCTGAGGTTGCTCACAGCTCTAGACTCCAAGGACTTATCTCTGCTCCAAATGGAGCATGTATATGGCCCAATCCTGCCAAAAGCCGTACGGTTCATTAGCTTTTACTATACAGAGAATCTCGCCAGGCCTGGTGCTAAAATGACAGGAGAAAGCCTACTTGACATCAACGGTAAAAGGAAAAATCACAGTGGGAGCAGAGCAGCTCTGGGAGACATTGCTCATGCCTTTGGAACAGGAGAAAAATGCTTCGGCCTCTAGATAGCAGGGCCCAGGCTAGCTGGAATCTGACAAGGACTTATTACTTTAGAAATTGTTTTCAGGGGTTTGGTTTCATCCCTTGGAGCCTCTATGCATGGCCCTGGATGATTTTTCTCTATTTTTTGATACTGCAACTATTTGTGTGGTTTGTGAGTTCTATGTTGGGAGGGGTCAGGAAAGAGAAGGGGAGAGAGAGAGAGAGAGAGAGAGAGAAAGAGAGAGAGGGAGACAGGCAAAGAGACAGAGAAGGGAAGGAGGAAAAAATGGATGCAATTTTAAGTAATCAGAGAAAAAAGAAAAACAGGGAAAGAGATGACTGGGTTAAGGGCGAGGATAAGAAGACCCAGGCCAAGGTTTCCCCTTCTCTTGGGAGGGATGCTCTTTGTACTGAAGGGTACTTTGTACTCTGAGTTCTGGTATCTTTTAAGGGTGTTTTTTTTTTTTCTGTCTTTCCTTTAAGCTCTATAAGAATCCATTACCTACTGTGACCTCGAAATCTCACCTCTAATTGCTTTTCCTTCCACCATCCCCTCGCCCCTTATTCTCTGTCAAAAGGGAAGTTATTTGGCTCAAGGACATTTACATTTTATGGGTTAAAACTTTCTCATCCGACTCCACAACACTTACATCTTTTTACCCCCTCCCCCCACCTCCAGCTCTCCTCCCTGCACACGTGGGTCTATGACAGGGTCTCCTCCTCTGGTCCCCCACTCCCCACGCCATCTGAAGTATGACTCCCACCCGGGATGTTTTCCAAATAACCCAGTGATTCTTCACCCTGGACCATCTGCTTCAGAATCCCTGAGGGAATGGTAAAGGAGAGAGGAAAGAAGGAAATTTTTTTTAACATGCAGATTCCTGGGACCCATCTCCCCGACAACTGGGGAAAGCTACATGTCTTATCTTTGACCTGGGTGATTGTGAAACTCCGTAAAGTTTAAGAGCTTCTGCAAGACCAGCTCTCAAGCCTCCCCATGTCCTTGCCCTTCAAGACCCGACTCAAAGATCCAAGACTCCCCTTCCACCACCCAAGAGAATATTGAGAGCCAGGGTCACACGCCTTACACCAATCATTCGAGTTGGGCCCTGCACCTTCTCCTCTTACGGGAGAAGAAAGCATTCAAGTCAAGGAAAGGGCAGGTAGTGAGGCTGGCCTGATAGGAAGGAATTAAGAGAGGCGGGAAGCTCCAAGCCATGACTAGTTGGGCAACTGCTCCTCACGGCAGCCTGTGGCTTGGTGGCCATACCACCCAGAGATGCAAATCTTCTGAATTTTTAAGGAAACTAGAAATCCAGATTTTTATATAAATTATTCTCACTTTCAATTCCTGGCTAATTTCTTTTTCATGAGTCAAACAAAATACATTCTGGCCGCTGCGTTGATATCTGCAACCTCTGGAAGGTTTTCAGAGGTTTGCAGTGGCTTTCAGTTCTAGGACTCTGGAATCCAGTGGCCCTGAACCTCTGTGGCTAACCAAGTTCTTTGGTTGCTGGTTGGAGCTTCTCAACCAATACTTCTCCTCTCCTAGAAATCCAAAGATCTGGTGACACCACAGCTCCAATAAGTGGGACTTGGTTGCTGGCAGGCTCCAGTGGTTTTGAAACCTGAGTGTGTGTCAGTCACTTGGAGGGCCTGGTCAACACAAGGAAGACTGGGAGCCACTGGAAGCTCCTGATTCAGGTAACCAAGGAAGAACCAGATAATTGTGCTTCTTACAAACCTGCAGGCACCGAGTCTTCCTGGAACTGCTCACGTGATTTAGGAGTCCATTTTAACAGTAACTGTCAGAGCTTAGTAACTTTTTCAGAGCTTAGTCTGTGCCGGCCATTTGTCATAGCACTGTGCTGGATCGACTTTAATCTTACATCCCAACCCTATTAGGAAGGTATTATCCTCAATTTATACAAGAAGAAACTGAAACTCAGAGAGGTTAAGTGACTTGTCCGAGGTCACACATTTTGGTGAATGGCAAAACCAGGACCTAAATGCAAATCATCAGACTACTGAGTCTTGTTATAATATCATTTATAAACCATGCTGAGACACTTAGGAAAAAGTAAGGAGACACCATTAATAAACATGCCAAGGCAAGATGTAAGCCAGGACTCTCCTGGGCAAGCCAAGACATAAGGTTACCTGAGTGGAGTTTGAATTGAGTCTTGGACACATGAAGGTTAGCATTGGGGAAAACTAAAGAAAGACTAAGGTTTATGCTGAACATCTCCGTGATGAAGTTTGTCAGATGTTTCCTCTCCATTCCAACTGTTGCAATACTCCAGACAGAACAAAACAAGGAAATGTCTTTTTTTGTTTCGTTTTGTTTTGTGCACTCTGACATGATTTTGCAGCCACTCACAAAGCCCTGGAGAACCAGAGTCAGGATTTAGTCCACCAGGCAGGGACGTACAGACATGGACATTTCGGAAGAGAAATTGGGCTGTGGTTTTTGAGAAATTCTGAATGTAGGTATTTTTGCACAAAATCCTGCCCATCACAATGGGTTTTACAGTAAGAGCAACAGCTGCTGGGGACTTAGTCCTCGCTGATTTATGCAAAGAGGAAGGGAAAATTCCATACTTTCTCAGACCCGTTGTGGGGAATTCTAAACAGGCTCAATAGTACCCTCTAGTGGGCAAAAGGGGAATGCGCGGGGGCTCAGAGGACAAGGAGACAGCCAAAAGACTGGAGAAAAGTAAGAAGAAATATTCTGCAGAAGTGAATTAAGTATCCAAGTGCTCTGTGATATAGACAGGTACTTTAGTTTAAAGGTTTAACAGATGGTGGATCTGATAAAATATAATTCTCTATAAAACACTGATCCCGTGTGATATTGCATCCACACAACACACAGCACAGTGAGCTCAGAACCCTCTGCATGCAGGACAGTGAGTGAAGGACCCAGGCAGGTGAGCCCGGGGAGGGGGGGTCACTCCATTCCCCACAAACCATTGGCCATTGGACTCCCGCCATAATCCATCATCCCCTGGGCAACTGCTTGTGGAAAGATACCTGGACAACGCTAGCCAGAAAAATACCAGTTTCCCCCTTAAGCTCCCACATAACAGAAGTTTTGATGGTGAAGCTTTAATTGCTTTATTTTTGCTTACAGAGATCAAATTAAATAGTAAACCAACAGCACTGACACAGGGACAAAAGAACAGGGCGAAGACAAAATCAAGTATGTGATTAATCATGCCATGAACTGGGAGATTCTGCAAGAGGCTGAGAGGTCACCAGCAACACCCACCCCACGTACCATCCATGTCTTTAGGCAGGAGACAACCTTCTGCATTCCGTTCACTGCCCTGACTCCATTTTTCTGTCAAAGTTCAGCTGTATCTGAGGTTTATTTCGAGGGTCTCCCTCCTCAGATTTCTCATGACTAACTGTCCCCATGAGCAATTGCCTTTCAAGTTTCTTTTCAGTTTCAATGAACTTCAGTTAGATCACCATTCCTTTTACTCATCAAAGGCACATGGAACTTTTATATATGTACAAAACAGTGTTGGGAATATATATCTGAAAACAGACAACAACCCCATCTTCATAATTTTCCCACTGAAGGAGGATGTGAGGAAGGGACTAGGCAGGCTCAATCCTGGAAAAGTTAGCAGATGGAGATGTGGTAAAAGCTGCAAGGACATTGCTTTATAGATTATATCCAGCAGAGATGTCACCTCCATCACATGCACCTAGTCATGGGTAGGTATTCTATAAATGTTAGCTTTTATTGTGTGTCGCTACTACTATTGCTGCTGTAGTAATTTACATGTATTTCTTTTGCTATTCCTGCACAGTCACATAATAGAAGGGTGAAATGCCAGTCTCTTCCACAAATGCTTTATTTAGTGAAATTACTCCATTACTCAGGGAGTGGTGAATCCCAACACCAATAACAGTTTATTTCTCTATTTGTAAAAGGCTACTATCAAGAAACACTGTTCAGCAGATTTCATTGATTCTTCAATTTCTTCCTTCATTCATTCAACTAACACATTACTTATGGAGTTCACTTTGTGTGCCAAACCTTATGCTAAGGATGGGAAGTAGAGTAATTAAGAAAATGGGCATGGCCTTTGCCCTCCCGGAGCTCTCTGTGTCCCAAGATTTTTGGATATCAAGAACTTCAACAACCTTAGATGAGGTTGTTGAAGCCAGAATTAGACAGGGAGTCATTATAGATAGGTAAATCGAGTCAGGTAAATAGAGTTGGGTGGGCTCAAGGAGGCCAATCTGAGTGAGTCTGGGAAGTTGGAGACTGTCCCCTGAGAGATTGAAATGTTAATTCCTTCAGAGCCCTTCCTCCACCCTTATTAAGAACCTGCCCCTGCTCCAAACTGTTGCTAAGGTAACCTGACCCAGGAATTGCCCCTCCCTACAGGGAGTTATAAAATTGTTAATTAATGTGTCTGGGGCTGCTCCATCCTGCCCTTCCCCCATCCATCTGCTTCTCACCTTTTGGCCACCCACTGAGCATCTCCTGGGCCTAGTCCTGTAAGCAGGAAGGAGGGAGATAGGGGAAGAGAGCAGGGGGACAAAGGAAGCCTAGGACATATAAAAAGTCAAACACCCTCACTTCTTGGGATACCAGGATACCAGGCCCCCTTTGCCCTCCCTGGAGAAATCTGTTACCCCTTTTTAAGTAAGCCCTGCTTTATATGCCTACCTCGGCGTGCTTCTCTAGTGTTATACTTCAACATGTGAAGGAGCAGCACAACTGGTCACTGATAACTGGCAGTATCATTATGTCATGAAGGACGTCAAACTCAGCCTCCAGTATCTGGAAGAGACAATCTCATTGTGCTTACCTGGAGCTGTGCCTGGTTCCATGGGTACCTTCTGAGGTGTCTGCTGCATGAATGAACTGGTGAGTGAAGACTGGGAGGGTTGACAAGAGGAATTATTGCTAAAATTTCATTTGCTGTGCAAATAACGATCATGAGGAACAGAGGGGTGTTCATGGAAATGCCTGGGAGTGAATGAGTTCCTATCGTGTGGTCACTACAATGTTGACACTTTCTGACCATTGCCTCCCAGCAGCCGTAGGATTTAGCATCATTACTCCAATTTTAGAGATGAGAAAACAACAACAACAACAACAACAAAGTTTTGGGATATTATTTATAATTTGGAAGCACGGATAGTAAAGGAATTGGGGACCAGAGAACATGCTCATGTCTGCCTTCTCCAGTCATTCCCTAAATCCCATTTTTCTCACTGGGGAACAAGAGCTTCTTCTCCAGTCTATAATGATGGGAATGGATGAGGTGACAGTCCAGCCTCATTTGCCACAGCAGGAGATGAGGATCCTTTAGCGGAGACTAATTCCCTGAAGGCAATCATCTCCCAACATGCCTGATGGGCAACTCTGATAGTGAAGTCTCGCTTTCCTCCCAACATTTTTCAAATCAAGGAAAACAGCCACAGATTTCCTGAACATCGAAAGACCAGGGTCACTGTGCTGAGTGAATTTTGATACAGAACTTGGTTGCATGGGACCTGGGGATGGGAACTGAACGTCACCTGGTGCAGCTGTTCATTTGATGAATCTCTCTATTCCGTCCCCACCATTCTACCCACCTGCCTGCACCTGACACTGCTAGGCTGGAGATCTGGCTCATGTTTCCAAAAGTGGCCCATTTCACGTTCAGAAGGAGCCTTCTGGAAAGCCTACCCCATGTTAAGCTGCAACCTGCTTCCAGCAGCTTCTCCTCTCCGGTTTTCATTTTCTCCATTGAGAGCCATTTGGAAATCCCATCGTGTCCACGTCACTCCTATTCTATCTGCCACACCACATACTTAGACTCCCAATATTTTTTTCATCCAACTCATTTTAACTTTACTTATTTTAATCTCCAATGAAGCAATAATGCTTTGTAATACATTTTTTTTGTTTTCCTAACAAATATGAATTATAGTATTGTTAGTGTGTTTTTAATTATATAAAAATCATGCATTACTCAATGATGCAATACACTATGAGGAATGCATCGTTAGGCAATTTTGTCATGGTGGTTATTGGCATCAGATCAATATTGGCATCAGATCCACCATTTTAGATCAGGAGCCATTTTTATCTAGGGACTCCTGAGTTTTGATTTAAGAGCCACTCTATCTAGGGACTCCAGGCTTCGATTCTGAATGCACCTGCTACAAGGTTGAACCGCCGGAGCCCATGACACAACCCTTAAGCATGCTTGTGAAATTCCTCTTGTGGGCTCTAAAGCTGCTCTGTGAGGGCCCACAGACTGCTGCTCCCCTTGGAGGGACAGCCTTGTGGGTTTGCTCCATGCTACTGACAATAAATCTCTTGCATGGGATTCCGGTGTGTGGTGTGGTCCTTGGACTTTGCATGAACTTTGCAAGTGTCCTTTCAGTGGGAACATTGAAGAGTGTGCTTCTGTCATCCCAAATGGTAAAGCCATCTCCACACCTGGCTGCATGTTGAAGCCTATGACTCTGAGGCCACTAAGTACTACAGGCAGCTGTAGCACAGTGGTGGATATATATATATCTGAGTGCACCTAAATGTAGGAAAGGCACATTAAACATGAAGTATAGAAGAAAAATAAAAGGGTCCACCTGTATACCTTGCCATGTTCATGTGGCATGACCAGGACAGGAAGTTGCTGTGGGTGAGTGGGTGGAACTGAAGGCGGAGGACATTACTGTAGGCTCCACTGTCTACTTAGCCTACACTCGATTTATGTTTCAAAGTTGTTCCTTTAGCTCACCTTCACTCTTTTGCTTTATAATCTTTTACATTTTTTAAACTTTTTGACTTCTTTGTAATAGCACTTAGCTTAAAACACAAATATATGGGATTGCTACTCAAAAATATTTTTTTCTTTATAGTCTTACTCTATGACATTTTTTCAACCTTTCAAATATTTTATTTTTTTTTTCAAGGCCCTGGGTTCAATCCCCAATACCCACAAATTCTTTTTTCTTTTTTAACTTTTTCTGTTGAAAACAAAGATACAAACACACATTAGCCTAGGCCTACTCAGGGTCAGGTCGTCAGTGTTGCAGTCTTCTATCTCAACATCTTGTCTCACAGGAACATCTTCAGAGGCTGTGACACACACATGTCAGTGTCCTCTCCTATGACAATAGTGGCTTTTCTAAGAATCACTCCTGAAGGACCTGCCTGGGGCTGTTTTATAGTTAGTATTTTTCTTTATAGTAGAATGAATACACTCTAAAATAATAATAAAGCATACAGTATAGTAAATGCATAAATTATTAAGTCATTTATTATCATGATCAAATATTTTATACTGCACATAATCGTGAATGCATGCAATTTTTACACATCTGGGTAATACTTCTAAAGGCTGATGGGCTAAGCTGGAAACCAGGGTCAAAAATGAACTAATATATAGTTTCTAGCTTGATTTCATAGAAGGAAGAAATAAGTGTGGACTACATTTTTTCCCTCTGATTCCGAAGCTGTTGCCACTGTAGTTACCATTATCTTGCTTCTCTTGTATAAATGACACGGTGATGGCATCCCTGGAGGATGCAAGTCTCCACCTTACATTCACAGGTAATCACTGCCGCGCCCCTGTCTTGAGGAGTTGTTGCTCCAGAAAGGAGGCTTCACTCTTCATCTCATCATCAGTGGGTATGGAGGCCCAATCAACATGGAGACTATTTCAAAGTGACGGAGGAGACCAAGGGCACTCAAAGGAAAGACGCACTGGTAGCTGTGCACTATGGCCTTCAGTTCCTGGGCATTCACTAATTTAGGAGAGCATGGAGATGGCTGCTTTTCAATAGGTGCAGCCTCTCTGCAGCTCTGGCGCAGTCTTGTGGCTCTGGGAGGGTGGGTAGCAAGCAAACGTTTCCATCAGAAAACTGTTTTTAGGTGCCAAAAATGCACTTGGCCATGGAACTACTGCAAAAGCCTCCGGGGGAGCCTGTGTGTTTTTGCATGGTTGTGGGTTGCTAGGTCTGGGATAACCTGGGGCAGGCTGCATTGCTCAACAAATCCCTAAATGAAGTGCTTCAGCAAGGGAACGTGGGGTTAGCTCGCCTGGCTTCCTGTCAGGGTTGGCAAGGCCCACTGCCACATCGAAGACCTCATTTCAAGGTATGTTCAGCTGAAAGCATGGAACAACGTGGTCAGACCAGATGGCTGGACCATATGGAAGGGAGCCAGCTTGTTTAAGGTAATCTGAAACATTTTTTAATAATAACTTTATTTAAAAAAATTTTTTTCCCACCTGCTTCTAAAGAACAGGGGAGCCAAATCCGTGTAACTAGGGAGACGTCATCATAGCAGAAACTGTCTCACACACGTCGTTCTGTTCTGTGGTCCAGTAACTGTGCTCCCAAGAGAGATCCTGCTGAGACTTCCCGGGATGTACTACCCTGATGATGTCAGTACCATCCACCCTGGAGCCCCGGAGAACTTGAAATTTGATTTAGTCTATAATGTGATCTGCTTCATTGCTAGAGGAGACCGCAGGCCCTCCCAGGGTCCCCAGGAGAGTGCGGCCTGAGTCAGCTCTCATTTGAATGAGGCCCCTCCATCTTCCCCTGTTTGGAGCCACCAGCATGTCTTCAAGAGGCTCTTCAGCAAAGAGCACCTTCTTGAGCACTTTGGGATTCCATATTTGACCCCAAACAAACAGCAGGGAAATCTGTCCGCACAGCTGCGCGTGTGCACCAGTGTACGTGGACCTCAGGGTATATCCAGAAGATGTTCACAGGGCAAAAGGGAAGAAATTCTGGCAGCCATGATTGTTTCTCTTGTCTTTGCTCATCCAGTTCTTTTAAGAACAACTCACATGCCTGTCAGAGAAGACAGTTTCTCCATAGTCCTCTCAAATGGAGCTCTCCCTCCCATTTCCCCCAAGTACCTCAAGACAAGAAGATGGGACCGGCATCCTCCGAGTTCTGAATTATTGATTATAAAGGATGTCTACTTCCTCCTTCAAAAGCCTAGCTGCTTTGAGGATCATGGGACCAGCCAAGCCTCCACATTGCTGGCATTTACTGACCTCTTGATGACTAGCCAACCCCACTCCTGAGGACTTGAACACCTGCCTCACCCTCTTCTTCTCCACCTCCATTCTGTCACCGTTCCTGGTAACGTCAACGTCTGTCCACAGGTGAATGCAGTCAGCACCTTCCGTCTTAATGCTCTCAGTTCTTGACTCTTGACAATCCTGCTTTCTCCCTGCTTCAGCCACGTGCTCCCCACAGTCACCCACCCCTGGCAAAATCCACCCTCCCAATCTGCTACAAGCATCGTCCAGCCACCGACAACCCCTTTTCTTCTTTCAACTCTTTTACTAATACCGAGGCCTAAGGATGCCTCCGCCTCACTGAGATCCCCCTGAATTTACTGTGGCAGCTCTCTCTCTCTCTCTCTCTCTCTCTCTCTCTCTCTCTCTCTCTCTCTCTCTCCCCCTCTTTGTCTCCCTTCTCAAAAAATCATGACCCCATTTAAACCTAACTGTTCATATTCTCCATGGCTACACCTAAAAAAAATGTTTCTGGAAAAAGTTAAAAGGCTGCACTGATTGGCTTGATGGCATATAAAAGCCTCAAATCTCAAATGGTCACTCAACATCTATCTACTACACTTCTTAGGAAGTCCACTTTACAACTCTCATGATGGTTACTGTACACCTTCTCCTCTTTCTTCCAATTTCCACAATCTCCTTCTCTACTCCTCTCCCCTGTCAGCTGATGTCTTGCTTAAAAATGAAAGCCAAGAAGCCCCTTTATCTACTAGGCACAAACACCCATAAGAATCTACCTCTAGCCAGGGGTAGTAGCATGTTCCTAGTAGCAGCTTGGGAGGCTAAGGCAGGGGGATCACAGGTTCAAAGCCAGCCTCCGCAATCTAGCGAGGCCCTAAACAATTTAGCAAGACCCTGACTCTAAATAAAATATTTAAGAAGTTATGGGGATGTGGCTCAGTGGTTAAGTACCCCTAGGTTCAATCTCTGGTACTAAAAAAAAGAAAGAAGAGAAAAGAAAGTTTACCTCTCTCCCTGCTTTCTCTTGGGTTAGGGTTAGGGTTAGGGTTAGGTTTAGGCCTTTCTGTTACGGGTACCTGGCATTCCTGCCCCTGGCCCCTGCTCCTCTTCTGAGACCTGATTCCACCCTTCACCATCTCAGGCACTTGGCCTCTGCATTGTCGGTTTGTCTGACTCTGTCACCTCATTTTCATCAGCACATAAACACGTGCTGTATCAGGGCCACACAACATGCGAGTCCACCAGGAGGTAAGATGACACCAGGGAGCAAGTCCACATTGCTTTTTTCCTGCAGCGACAAAGTCTTGCTGTGAAAAAACCTCATCATCACCTAGACTGAGCCTTTTGCCCAGTGACCTTGCTGCTCCGTGTTTGCTTCACAGAGCGACCTGGTCTGCAGCCCAGGCCTCTGCACCACACTGGGAATGACACTGCTCTGGATTTCTGGTCCTTAAACCCTTTCCCTTGGCCTTTCCCCAGCTATGTCTTGTTCCTGAGCACAGAAGCATCTCACTGACGAGCTGTTCACTACCTTTGCTTCCTTGATACACACTTGCTGCTCAGTCTCCTCCACTCTGGCTTCTGTCCCTGCCCCTCTCCTGAATTTCCTTGTCATGGCAGCTTGGGCCCCAGCGTTACCGTATCTCCTTGTTGCTTCGGAGCCCTCCTTTTCCTCTTACCCTCAGTGGGAGTTGACGCAGGTAACCTCCCCTCCTTTCCTGACACACACAGGCTCCTAGGGGCCAAGCAACTTGCTGGACCCCTCTTCTAGGGAGGTTAGAGGGAAGGCTCGACCTTGGACAGCTGTCTCCAGAGTCTTGCTCCTGTCTATGATGCTGGGGACTGGCTTAGAAGGAGAGATCATAGAGCAATGGGGAATGCACCTAAATGTACACAAGGAAAGAAAGTAGGACAGCGAGGTCCGAGAAGAGCCCAGGCTGCTGAATCTCAGTACAAATGCAAAAGTCCAAGTTCAGTTTCAAGTGCACTCTGTTAGCACCCCAGGACACAATGTGCATGAGGTTCCACGTGGGGTGGGTGTCCTCTAGTAGCAGTCCTCCTTTTAAAATGTTTTATTAGTGTATTGTAGTTTTATAGTATTGGGGTTCATTTTGACATTATGGCATGCATGAAATATAATCTGCTTCATTTCAGTCCCCAGTCCTTCCTCTTTCCTTCCCCCTGTCCTCTTCCTCTACTCTACTGGGCTCCCTTCTTTTTATTTGTAGTATTTTTAAATTGGTGCTTTACAGTTAAACATAAAGGTGAAGTTTGTTGGTATATTATTATATGTTCATAGCATAATCTGGTGAATTTCATTCCAC